TGTCACTTCATAGGTTCATAGATGTAGGTTCAGAAGGGACCTGAGCAGATCAACAAGTCTGACACCCTGCTCTGGGCAGGAATGAATACTGGGCTCATACGACCCCTGGTAAGTTTAAGCTCATATGACCCCAGCTAGGTAATTATCAAGCCTCCTTTTAAAGACTCCTAAGGGAAAACAAGGTCTCACCCATTCCTCTCTGGTCGCCGCTGATAAGTTTATAGATGGCCACTAGATACCCTCTCAGCCTTCTCTTGTGAAGGCTGAACAAGTTCAGGTCCCATAGCCTCTCCTTGCAGGGTCTGTCCTGCTGCCCCCTGATCATGAGAGTGGCCCTCCTCTGGACCCTCTTGATGCTGGCCACATCCCTCCTGAAGTGCGGCACCCAGGACTGGACACAGTACTCCAACTGTGGCCTGACCAGTGCTTCACAGAGGGGGAGGATCACCTCCTTCAACCTGCTCATGATGCATCTGTGGATACATGACAAGGTGCGGTTGGCCTTACTGACTGCATCCTCACATTGGTGGCCCATGTTCATTTTAGAATCGATAATGACTCCAACATCTCTTTCTGCCACTATGTTTTCGAGAAGGGAGTTCCCCAGCCTATAGGCATGCTGCTGGTTCTTTCTGCCCAAGTGCAGCACCCTGCACTTGAGAGTATTGAATCCCATCCTATTCACATTCGCCCACCCCTGTAACCTGTCCAGGTCCAGTTGTATCCTGTCCCTCCCTTCTAGCATGCCCACCTCGCCCCAAATCTTGGTGTCATCAGTGAATTTGAACAGGGTGCTTTTCACTCCCTTGTCCAAGCCGCTAATAAAGAAATTGAACAGTATGGGCCCGAGTACTGAGCCCTGGGGGACTCCATTGCCAACATCCCTCCAGGTCGAATATGACCAATCCACCACAACTCTCTGGGTGTGGCCCCCTAGCCAATCTGCGACCCATTTAACCATGTAGGCATCAGTGCCACAGTCGCCTAGCTTTTTAATGAGAATGGGGTGGGAAACAGTATCAAAGGCCTTCCTGAAGTCCAGAAAGACTACGTCTACCGCAACACCTGTGTCCAATGACTTTGTGACCTGATTGTAGAAGGCAATCAGGTTGGTCTGACAGGACCTGCTCCTAATGAACCTCTTGAGCATCATCCCCCCTGCTGGTCCCTCACAGATGTGCTCCTGGATTATTTTCTCAAAGAGCTTCCCCAGGACCAAAGTAAGACTAACGGGCCTATAGTTGCCTGGGTCCTCCCTCCTCCCTTTTTTGAAAATGGGGACCACATTGGCCTTCTTCCAGTCTTCTGGCACCTGGCCAAAGCACCACGAGGGCTCATAAAGCTGTGCCAGGGGCCCCACGATGACCCCTGCCAATTCCCTCAGCACCCTGGGGTGGACAGCGTCTGGACCTGCTGATTTGAAAATGTTCAGCCCCTCCAGAAGTTCCCTAACTCAGTCCTCCCAGGCCCTAGGTCTGGCAAAGTCTCTCCTGAGTCCATCCTGAATCCCATAGTTAAGTTGATCTAAGTGTAGCATCTGCATGTACCCTTAGAAGTAAACATGGTTCAACCTCCACCCTCCAGAGGAGCAGATATCTCTTGTTCCCTAGACAGTACCATGGATAAAGTAGTAGCATACCAGAAACTGTGGCTCCTATGCACAAAGTCCTCCCATTTAATATGGAAAGCACACTACTGAACCTACTAACAAGAATGTCCCACACCAATAGACACATTAGAAGAACTTAAGACTGGAATGGAATAGAACTGCTACATTCTACAAACATCAAGTTTCAAAATGTGAGAACAAAAGAGCATATGGTGAGATATGGAGAAATAATCCTTAAATTATTCTGACCCTCTTCCACTTAGAACCTTGTAAACAGCAAGTGTTTGACCTACAAACCAACAGTCTTTTGATTGAGTGGAGAGAGATGAGCACTGACACCCAAAACTGACAAAACCTAAAAGAAACTGATACTTGCCTTATAACTCCTTACACTTCTAAGGTATATCTCTGTCTCTTTAGACATTTGTCTCTAAGCCAAAAAGATATTTGAATGCATTTATTTTTAATGAAAATATGATTTTCTGAACTGAATTATATATTGAATTAGAATTCAATAGAATGAAAAATAAATATATTTCAGTCACAGTAAAACCTATTCTGTAAGTCCCATTTCCTTTACAGGGCATACAATTACCACACAAAATCCTATGTATTTCAATGCATTTGTAACTTGATACAACCATTAGCTTCTACAATGTACCATATTCTTATAAACTGCATTAATTTTTATAACTTATTCAGCATTTCAAGAAACATCAGAAAATTGTCTATGATTTTATATACAGTACCTTGAAAATTAAAAGCCTGCTTTTAGAACCTTTAAAAAAATGAATGAATAAATAAATAAATAAATAAAAGAAACACATTAAGCAATCTTAGAAGCACACCAACCCAACTGGGGAACCACGACCAAAGCAAGCCCTATAATAATATAATGACCTTTAATGAGTGTCTTGGGAAACAATACAGCCTTAGCATAAAAGACAAAGGGCAAAACCCATCATGGCTCTGCTGACACTAATTCAAAATGATTTTCAGAACAACTAAAGAATGTAACAGAGGTAATCTGATCTACCAATCTGACCTCACTTTGATTCTGGGGCCCTGCTGCTGCCATTTCTAATTGTCAAACACTCAACATTTCACATCTGCTCATATTTAATGAAAAGCCAACTCTCACCACCATTCTTTGAGTTAACTAGCTCTGTCAAGATGGCATCATACAACCCCTCCACACTACAAGGAAAACACAGTGATTTCTATTGAAGCCCTGCCAGTGGAATTTTGTATGTATATATATTTTCTTTTAATTGGAAAAGAAAGGCTTATGCTGGTTCATGAAGGGCTTGAATTAGTATTGATTTTTCTTACTTATTATTAGTGGTCAAAGGTGAATAGTCTCATATGAGGAAGAATGATATCTCTTTTGATTTGATGGAGTGACGATCCGGGGAAAAGGCCCGTGAAACAGAGGATGTTAAAAATTCTCAAAGCTGTCAATACCACTTAGATTTCAGAGTGCAACATGGACCTAAGATGTTTCTCAACAGTTTTGCTGTTGGGGGCAATAATATCATACACTGGAGTTTTTGGCTGAATGGGCAATGCAATCAAAAACATTTTTTCCCACCCTCAATAGCCTTAAGTGAACTAGAAAGCTACAGTAACCCTTCAGCTTATGGATTCTCTTTTTTTTCCCAGATGCTACTAATGGTAGAAATTTCACCCATTTGTAGGGGACATATTCATTTAGCCCTGTCTGGTAGCTGTTAACACCAGTGCCTCAACTCAGCTGCATAATCCCTTTGCACTAGCCTGTACTGATGCAAACAATTTCATATGCTGTGTTGTTGCAGAGACTAAGAAACATTTTCAGTAACAGTATTTGCAGTACCTCGCAATTTTAATGTACTAGGAAGTTCTCAATCATCCTTTTAAGCACAGCTTTTCTCTTTATAACACTGAGGTGGAACTCATTTAGGAATGCCAACTCTTACTACCAAGCAGAGGGCAACTCTTGGAGGCAATGTACTTAATGTGACTGACTGAAAAATAGGGACTTTCAAATACTGATACCTATACACATATACAGAGAAAGGCTTTTTGTATCAGCTTTTCTCCAAGACTCCATTAGGTTCTGTTTTCAAAGGGACAGATTTTAAACATAAAAGTGTGCGTGTGTGTGTGGGGGGGGATTGTATTTGTTTCTGAATTAATAGATCAATGGCCAAGATAGGTAAAGTAATTCAGCAGCTGGACTATACATGGGAGGCATCAAAAAGATAACTTGAGGCATACTCCACTAACCTCACTGTATTTTGAGTGCTTGTGGCAGTTTCTGTTTGTCATACCATTGAGTATGAGGATATCATGTTTCCTGATCAAAATTGCATTATTTTTACCAGATTACTCTGTTTTAGCTTTATTTAGGTGTCAATTTCACCAATCCATTTGGATAAGGAAAAGGAAAATAGTCCTTGTCTGAGACATAGTTTTGCCTGTTATGGACATCTGAATTGGGCAGATAAGGGGGCAGCTATTTCATTACTAATCTTCCTCAACGCTGTCAACAAAGCACTGAAGAGACAGGGGTAGTTGGGGCTCCCTAGCGAAAAAAATTAATGCTCACTTGCATTATTCCTATTTCTCTCTCCTTCTTCTCCCTTCACTTTCCTGCTTCCTCACTTTCAGGACAACAGAAAAGCATTTAAGGCTTATTCCTAACAAATGCTGATCACAGTCCCCATGTAGAAGTAGAATCTATCATTCTTTTTTTATATAGTCTGTAAAGGAGTCAGAAGCTTGAATCAGGGTAGCCTTATTAAAGTACAGTACTAAATTGGTACGTCTAAGTTTCTTAATCCTTCTAGAGAGTCCATCTAAAAAAGGACTTCATTCATTACTGAAAATGAAGGGTAACAAGGAGCAAGACTAAAGAAAATGACAGGAATATGAAATATAGCTTTATCTACATAGTATATAAGACGTAGGGAATTTCCACTTCTTGTTATATGCTATTCAATCCCAAAAGTATCAGAATTGCCCATTGAATAACTTTATACTACTTTGTGTCTGTAGTCACAGATTTAGATACACCCCCCACTATTAATAAAACATTTACTGAACTGTTTGATTAATGACCATTTATACTGTATGCATGAAATAAAAACAAACATATCACCAAACTGCACTAGTAAGGTCCTACATGCTACTGTAAAGTTGCACATTCTAAGGAACACATGAAGCTAAATGAAAAAATTAAATGGGGGTATTAAAAATTGGAAAATATAAATTTAGTGCTGTATTAAAATGTTTTGAAAAAAAGCACCAGCCCAGTAAAACTCACAGAACTACAATGTACGACACAAGACTGGGATGATACCACAGACACCACAGACATGGAACAGCATGTGTTGGTGTTAAAACTTACAGGCACGTAAACTGGTGGAGCAATCATTAACAGAGACAGAAGAAAGTGGGAAGGCTCTCTCAAGGGTGTCCATATTACTATGTACACTGCCTGACATGCAAGAGCAGTCACGCTCAGAGCGTCCGCAATCAAAACAACATGCCAGTTTCATTCTCTTGTAGATGGACATCTTGGCTATAACCATGTGTTGGATGGGAGGAGAGGAAGAGCAGCAGGTTAATGGCAAGGTTATATATATAACAAGGCAACTGGAATGTAATTTAAGGGATTTAATACAGGCCTTAGTTTATGTTAACAGTCTTGACCCAGGAAAAAAAATGCAATGAGATTATTGATAACAGTTTGGCTGTACATTAAAAGTAGGGAAAGGATAAAATATTCTTGATATTCTCTCTAGGTCATATAGAATGACCACAAACATAAAAGGAATTACTGATTACAACCAGGTTTGGGATTTAAAAAGAGCATAAATAAAAGCAGAAAATCCTAAGAACATCTTTTTCCTCTGGCACAATTAACGCTTCTGGCCAAAGAGAAAGAAAAAATTGAAGTTGCTAATCAATAAAATAATTTGGACCTGTACTGCTTTTGGCAATCATCAAAAGTATTTAAAAAGGCATACACACACACACATATATATAAATATATATATATCCTCAAAAAAGTGCTAATCATTTCTCAGAATCAAACAGTGCCAGGGTAATTTTTCATTGCATTAAATTACAAGTTATTGCAGAATTACAAGTCTTCATAAAACTTCCTGAAAGATTTAGTGAATTTACATTATGCCTTCAGGAACTGAAATTGACTCTTGACAGAATACCAAAATTTGTGCGTATAAGAGACAGCTAGTTAGACAAATATGTTTCTCTTTATAGTCAGTTCACAAATAAGGCATCACCAAAAGTACACAGAACATAGGCTCACTGGAACATGCAGAACCAATCATAGGCATATTTTCTGCTCTGAAAGGAACTGTCTTAAAGTATCAACGCAGGAAGCAAATAAACAAATACATAATTAAAGGTGAGCTAACATTTCGAGCTAACATTTCAAGAGTTCATTTAAATCTTTTGAACAAGGCAATGATACTCAAGCAGGAAATGACATTAGTTTTGATAAGTATTTACAAGACATTTAAAAAAGAGCTTTATTTATAAACTACTCCAAAGTATCTTTATCCATTTTTGTTACCTTATGCACAATTAAGTTCATATCTGAAGATGAAAATAAATGCCACTTAAAATTGTTTCACATGTTGCACTGACCTATCATTGTTGGTAATGGCTTAGCATGAACTGGCTTAGTTATACTGACACCACAACAGAATGTTGACAGCCAAAAAACAAACCTTCAAAAGCAAATGCAGCCGAAAAGGTAATGTTGCTTTGGTCTGTGCCTTCAGTAGCATTTCTTTTTTTTTTTTTTTTTAGCCATTACAGTAGAAATATTAATTTAAAAGAACAGTCCTTCAGTTTCACTGTTTTTGAATGCTAGTGTAAAAGAGAGATTTAAATCTCTCAAATGGGTCAAGTCCTGTTCTAAGGCCTTTATGACTTGCCATACAATATTTTGTCAAGCAAGGGTAATATTATGATTGTGGAAAACAGGCATTGAGGGAGATGAATGAGTGATCTCTTCAGCAGCGACTCCATTCCTCTAAAACTTTGCTCACGTTTCTAGTAGCATGTTCTTTAGCATCCTAGTAGTATTATCTTACAGCTTTTCAGAAAGTCATCATGCAGCATCAGGCTTATTCAGTGCATGGTACATCATTCCTGGGTTTTTAGTATAAAGGGTTCCACTGCAGCTTTTGATACACACAAGATCAGACTACACAGAAAATTCAAAACAGCATTTGTTCCATCCATGGTTTCCCTCTCTAATTCTCCCCAACACAAGCTTTTAAAACTAACAGTTGGGCAGAAAAGAGTTAAGTATTTGGATTCTTCCATTATACCTATTTTTATTTTATTATTTTTCTTTTCACCCTACCAAAAATAAAGAAAAATACACAGCATTAATCAGAAACACACTAATAGTAGATAAGGGGAAAAAAGAGATACCCATTTGGTTTTAAATTCAGCTGTTTTGAAGGACTTTTTCTAATCAAATGCTGGAGCGAAACATGGTACCCAAATTTTCTAATGCTATGTGGTTGGTTAGTAACAGTCCCTGGATTTCATTTACTTGAAGCCACATTTTGTTAGCAGGCAATAATAAAATGAGATACATTTATTAAAATAATAATAATAAAAATCAACCTTAAAAGGAAGGAGAGTTGGGAAGCAAAACTTTTTGTAACATTTTCATTAAGGTTAAACCAGTGAAGTAGGAAATTTAAACCCTTTAAGCCAAAAAGGGAAAGGATGCAAATTACATCTTGAAATTGACACTTTTCAGGGACTGTTTTTAACTAGTATTATTGGTTGTTCTGGAGATCATGCATCATTTTAATATTTCGTATTATTAACATGCAGAAAACAGGCTTGAACCTGGTATTGTATGTAGCAAAAAGGACTTGCTATAAGGGTTTTAACCAGTATATAAGCAATTGCATATCAGAGCAATACATTTTGTAAAGAAAACATGCTGTTACTCTTCATTCCTGTTACACAGTCATTGTTACACTCATACCGAATACAATACTGAAATAAATTAAAGGAAAAAAAAACATGGAATATTAGTAAGGATGATTAGTGAAAGGATCAAAGACAAGACAGAAATGATTAAAGATGGTTCAGCCACACACATACTGTTTCCTGTTAAACCGCCATAAATATTAACAAAAAATGGTAATCAGCAGAGAGATAAGGACTCTTGTACATCCCTTTGGATGTTTAATTCCTATGACAACTGTAGTTGCCATGTAATAATCCAGTCATAATTTACCACTTACTTGTAGAAAAGATCTGGATGCAGAATGAAACTGTTATTTGCTGTTCTTGTGAAATAAAAAACACGACATTTTTCTTCATCTCTGTAAGTTTTTGATGAATTAGTAGGAAGAAGGGAATAACCATGTCTTCCTCCTTGGCCTGTTTGGTATGTTGAAAATCCCAAACCATTTATTTTTTAAAAGTAGCCATGGAAGTACATCCAATCAAGAACTGAAACTTTTTTTCGGTAAAAAAAAGATGTAGTTTATCCCCAACCATTATCCTCTTTACCAGAGGACTGACTTGAAAAGAAACATAATAAAGTAAGATTTATGTTTGGGAAAATGGCTTACAAAGAACAAAAAGTATTTCAATTTACATACATATTTTAATATTTCTGCTCCAGTTTTTAAACAAGCTAACCTTCATTCTTACTTTGGTGGGAAAAGCTATAGGTCTAGGATTCTAGCAACCCCTCTTCTGGTTATATAGAACTGCAACTTGTAGATAAAATATTGACAAGAAAGAACATAGTATTATTGATATCTAAAGTATATAAAATTCACAGTTATAGGGAACACTTCCAGAGGCAAAGATGATGAAGGGAAGTTAAAGATTGGTCTTTGAATAAGATGGCAAATAACAGTTCCTTGTATAAAACAAGCAGGACTAATTACCCCTTTTTCCTCTGTTGATTACTTTTTTGTTGTTGTTACCATAAGATGTTCCCAGTCCTAGTACTCCACCCATCCCTACCAGTAGTTTTTTCTCATGGACCTCAATGGTAACAAAAGGTAGATCTATGAGGACATCTAGTGGATCTCTTCAAAACAACAGTTGGTTAAAGAGGCTGGAGGTTTCTTGACTGGCATTGAATAAAAAAGGGGCCAACTACTATTAAGAATTGAAATGGATATAATGTCATTTCAATTCATCAAGTTCTTATGAACCACAGCAAGAATAAAACGACAAAAAGGTAGACTTTACAAAAAAATTATGGTGGAAAGCAACCAGTTAAAGGTTAAAGGACGACCAGATTGATTTGATTGCCTTTTGGCGACGTTGGTTAACATCATCAGTCTAAAAAATTGAAAGGGTTTCCCACAGCATGATTTCAGTTTTCTTAAAAATACAGCAGCATGTCTTAAACTGATTGTGACAATTGATTTTCTCTTAACACAACAGGCAAAGCTATCTCTCTGTCATTTCACTGTGTTCCAGGACAATTTCAAGACAACCAAGTGCAAGCTACATACTATTTTGCAATTTTTGCAAAGTTCTGACATTAAGTGATGTCAGTCACAGGCAATTGGTACCTGTTTCCTATAATTCACATGGTGTTCTTGGTTTTCAGTCAAAATTGCAGGAGCAGCAGGTGATGTGAGTGGACAATCTGCACATTCTATTATATTTTAGTAACTTTAAGAATGCTTTGAGTTAATGACATTTTTATAGACCAATTCATTTGCATATATCTTCATGACCCTTCCTTCATTATCTTTAAGAGTAGCATGTAGTCAGTGTTGCTCTTAATTTTCTCTCTAAATGAGCTTAAACTATGAGAAAAAAAGAAGAAGCAAGGCAAGATCACATATCTATTATTATGTGTCTCTTTTTTCAGCTTGCTGAGTCCTTGAACTCAGAAAAATAGCTACGTAAAAATGAAATTTAATGTTTACCCTCTTTAGCCTCAGCATTGTTGACAAGTGTCAACTCAGCCACTCGTTTGTTTGGAGCAATTTTGTAAGTAATTATGTTCATTATGAATTATGGGCAGAAATACTGTTAATTAGATGACAAACAAGGGGTCATATGAGCCCAGTATTCTCTCCTGGCTAGGACAGGGGGTCAGACTTGATGATCTACTTAGGTCTCTTCCGACCCTACATCTATGAAACTACACAATTTGCAATTGCAATCAGACAAGATTATATTGCGTCTCTTGCATTATCAGCTAAATCAGTGGTCTCCAACCTTTTTGGATAGGAGATCAGGTTTTTAATTAAAAAGGAACCCAAGATGTACCTTCCACCTGCCCCACAGCTCAATCTGTGGGGAGGGAAGAGGGGGGCAGATCAGGGTGGAGGGATAAAAAA